GGGATCCAAACCCTCGACAATGTGATCGCGAGACCTGCAACATATCCACTTGTCCACGCCGCTTCGAGCGGTGAAGCCTCACACAGCTAATTCGTAGAAATGCCACTATGCTCCCCCTAAAAAGGCCCCGTAACTTTGTTCTGGGAGGTCCGCAGCAGATATGGAAGACGGTTTCGTAATCCCCGTCCAGAGACCTTTCAGTCGCATCTCATTTCAAATGGCCACTTTGACGGGAGGAGGGAAAAACTCACCCATGCGCGTATGCGGCGCGGTTTCTTCACGGCGCCGCGGCGGCAGGGCGGAGCGAAAGGCGATGGCCCGCGTCTCCGGCGCTGTGCTCCAATCCAGCAGCCTCTTTTATGTGGAAGGAAGAGGAGGGAAAAGTAGAGAGAGAGAAGGGAATTGAACAGATAGTGGGTGCATATGTGAGTTAGTGGTAGTGGTGAGAGATCACAGAAAAGTCGACTATCACGGCGAATTACTTCAGTGAATGGTGCAACTTGATAGTTCCCTTCGATTGTGAAAACGACGCAAGCTGCTTTTACGCGAAGTTCAAGCTGAGGTTTGGCAAATTGCCAACAGTTGGTTGTGAACCTCATAACGGTATAACATCACGTCCCGATCGAAGGGGATTATTCTGCTAGTTTCGCTGTTGACTGAAATAATACTCTGTTACTCGACTTTTCTGTATTCTCTGCTCACCATTACCATCAACTCACCTACGAGCGTTCACTGTTTCTTCACTCTTTCCTCTCCTCCTCTTTCCACACAGAGGAGCATAAAAGGGGGCTGATTGAAGCACAGTGGCGGAGGCGCAAGCGATCACCCTTCGCCGCCCGTCGCCGCGGTGCCGTGAAGAAACCGCGCCGCATACGCGCACGGGTGAGTTTGTACACGGAGCCACCGCTGCGTTCAAGAGAAACTCTGGGCCGCAGACTGTGAACAATGCCTTAGGCAAAGTGTTTTGGGTCTAACGCTTGTCTATGTATTCAGGGTACATCATGGTGTAGCTGTAACATATACCTTTACAAGTGGTATGAGCGTATTGTGATTTCCGACATAGATGGAACAATCACAAAAAGCGACGTGCTTGGCCATGTTATCCCAGCCATTGGCGGAACGTGGGCTCATGCTGGAGTTGCTGAATTGTACACTCGGATTAAGAACAATGGGTAATTTTTAATGGTTTTAGTGTTTTCTCAATTCGCTTAGGCTGAGGGACGTGATCTATCCAAACCTCACCATGTTATAAATGTGAATATCGTCATTTTTAGTTACAAGATGGTGTATTTGTCATCTCGAGCGATCGGGCAAAGTCACACAACGAAACAATATCTGAAGAGCATTGCCCAGGACAGTAAGCAACTGCCTGATGGTCCGGTGCTGCTGTCACCGACAAGTGTGCTCATCGCGTTTAGAAGGTGCGACATTCTTTTTGGATAGATATTCATGAATGCGCTTCACTTCTGTGGCAACAGCTTGCCACTTGAATTTCTAAATTATAAGGATGCTGCAAGGGGTTTTTTTTTGCATGGGACTGTGAACTCCTATAAGTCTTTTCCGCTGCAGTTGAAGAGGCGTGTCAGGCGAATGGATTTGGCGCGGCACCAAGCTCGTTTTCCATTAGTACTTGAAGCGAGTAAGTAGATACACCGCATCGTATTCTTCGCGTCGGTCGTTTTCCAAGAACTGATGTTGCTTACTCGCTTCAGCAACTGGTGGAGAACGGGTTTGGCACTGGGCCGAACCCATCTTGCCGGGCACGGTCCTTGCAGCGAATAAAGACTATACTTCATGTTGAACATTGTTACCTAAGGGAAGTGATTAGCTGATCAGCTAATTAGTAGAACTAAAAGAACTGTTACCTCGCGCTAATGCTAAAAATTAAAGCTTTCATTTTGTCTGGAGTCTGTGCAGTGTGCAGAGGGAATCCTTCAGCTGTGTTTATACTTTTCGTCGGTTTTTTGAGCTAACAATCCATCATATTTCCTTAGCTATGCGTGATTGGTACAGATGATTCATTGTGCTAGCGATTCTTTTCCTCCGAGTGTTTTAAGCATTCGGAAGGAAAGCAAAAGATAGATATCGATCTAGCGTTTGGAGGAAGCGCCAGCGCTTTGTGCTTTCCGAATTGTTTGAACGAATTGATATTTATTGTGGTGGTCGAGACCTTTGCTATCCTTACGAAAAGTATGAATGCGGTCTCTTCCTTGTTCAGAGATTTGTTGTTTTCAGGGAGGTGATCGAACGCCGTCCTGAAGAATTCAAAATAGCTGCGTTAACTGATTGAAAAGAACCTCTTCCCCGTGAAGCAACCATTCTTTGCTGGATTTGGTAATCGCGAAACGGTTCGTTCAGAACTTTCGGTCTCAATTTGTTCGGCTTTGTTTCTAATTTTGCATATTTTGCCTCATATTTGTTATCGTAGTTCGATTTTAACTCTGTTTCCTTTCAAGGATGTTACGTCATATCGAGCGGTTGACATCATGCCTGCACGAATTCTCATTATCGATCCATCTGGTCGTGTACGTCGGTCAGATTCTGTAGGATATGTCAGCAGTTACTTATCAATGGCGTCAGAAACGGTCGACTACTTATTTCCGCCACTTATGAAGAAGTAAGGGTTTTTCTATTGAAATTTCCAGTCCGTCGAGGTTCATATAATGTTTTGTTATGTTCCATTTTCTTATTTCCACTTAAAATGTCGTTTTCTATGAGTGGGCTTCTGCTTCAGAAACAGAAGGTCTGGCACAAGCCCACCGCGGGGGAGGACACTTTGTAAAGCTCTCTGAATGTGCTGGGCAAACTACAGTAAACGTATTCGGCAGTTTTTGTAACGTTCTCTTGACTTCTGTCATGCTACAGAGTGGTGCGAGCTTCATATTTAGGCTTATAAACGAGTGTGAGCCAAAGGATGCCAGTTTTCGTTCAAAGTCGGTTTTCGCATTCCGCTAGGAGTGAACCTTCTTGCCTAAATACAGTGCTTATTCATATTTTGGAGTTAAATAGGCCTGGTGCACTGATGGCTCGGTATGGTGCTGTTCCGCAGTTTTATAACAGACTTTGCTATTCTACTCGGCATGTTCACAGAAGTTTGCGAATTGCCCGAGTAGTGGGCTAGCGCTGGGAATAGTGCTTGATGCTGCCTTTCCTACTTAGCTCTCCCTAACTTTTCATTAATTTGGAAGCAGCGGAGAACATGCGGAACAAGCCCCAGATCTCGAAAAATCGCTAGAACTGCCAACAAATCACGGTATTCTAGAAGGTTTAATGGTCTCTGGCTGAACTAGGTACCTACTGCGGACCTTGAGAGATTTTTTGTGTACTCTGCAAAGTTGTGGTGCCTTGCGGCGTTAGCCGGTGGGGCTTGGGTAACTCTATTCTCTCTAATGATTTAGACAACTTAAAGTTGCCTCGGGCCTAGAATTCGGATAATTGTTCATTTACCACAGAAGTGACCATCTAACCAATATGAGCTCTTACTTCTTGCAGATGGAACCTCTGGTTTGAGGCCACTCCACGAAAACGAAGTGCTAGTCTTTGGAATCATGAATGACGCTAGCCTTACTTACGTACTTTCCTTTTTTGCTCAGTCGGTTAGGTTGATTCCGAAGCTTTAGTGTTCGAGATCAACTCTACAATTTCTCAAATATTGCCTACAATTGCTCAAATATTGCCTCCAGCAGTAGTGCTTGTTTAGACTTACCACAAGATTCGGGACAATGGTAAAACCTAGCGTGTCTAGTAGATGTTTAGCTATTTATGCTTCGCTTATATCGCAGATGAACAATGAATCCTGATGCAATAAAGCCACTTGTTTGAGATACCTGTAGTGTGCGGTTCTGATTGCTACCATAGTCGGTCCACTAATAGCATGCTTTACTAATAGAGTGCTCCTACAGTCTTGTTCGCTGCTGATTTAGGGCGTGTTGGGCGGGGTGGGTTTGGTGCGGTGCCAAACCTGTTCTCCACCAGCTGAGGAAGCTGGTAAGCGACAACCTGTATCACCTGTGCTCCCGTTGATCATCGAGTTCCTCGAGCGGGCGCCAGTAACGTCTCCATTCGTCCCTGCAACGTGCAAGAGTTGCCCAATGGACTCTGCTCGAGGGACACGATGAACTTCATACCATTCGTTCAGAGCTTTCACGAAGAAGTCTGACCATCGCATAGGCGGTCGTCCAGGCGTTCGCTTGACATCCCGTGGAATCCAGTCGGTGATCGCTCTGGTCCAGCGGTCGTCCTCGAAACGCATGACGTGTCCGGCCCACCTGATCTTGGCAAAAGCGGCGGCGTCTCTGATCTTCGATCGTCGGCGGAGTGCGGAGCTCCGGATTCCCTCTCTCACTTGCGTGTAGCGGGAAACTCCGAGCATCGCCCTTTCGATGGCGCGTTGAACGCCAACCGCATGCTCATCCTGCTTTCGTAGAGTCCAAGTCTCTGAGGCGTACGTCAAGGCAGGAAGGACCGCGGAATCGAAGAGGTGGGCACGGAGCTTGGTGTTCTTCGTCTTCTTCGCTACTCCCTCGATGTTCTTGAAGGCTCCCCAAGCCGCTCGCTTCCTCCTGCTCAGCTCTGGAGCTAAGTCATTCATCATTGATTTCACGACCTAGGTACACATAGCTAGAGCATTCAGAGATGGTCGTTCCGTTGAGCGTGAATGGGGCATCAGAAACCAATCCGTTTCTCATGAACATCGTCTTCGTTAGATTCAGCCGTAGACCGATTTTGCCCACACGCGCAGTCGAAATCAGCCAGCATTCCAGAAGCGACAACACTTGGTGGAAAACGACTGATACAAACGATATGATAGTCTCTCGCTTACCGGCTTTAACATCTTGTGGTGAACGGGTCCGGCGCCGCGCCAAACGCATTCCGCATGACAGACTTCTTCAGACGCAGCGAACAAGTCTGTAGACGTCTCTTGCTCCGGCCTCGGCAGCTTCCGCGTCTTCGATAGAACCTGGTGGGTAGGAAAAATGTGCGAAATGATGCTTGTACTAATGGTCTGGGACGAAAATGTTCTCTAAGCTTCTGAAGAATAGAAATTTTTTCAGTAGATAAGTGCTATTAATAAAAGAAGCTAGCTATTGTCAGGACCTGGGCTGTTTTTATTCATACTAACGGTCAGACATTTGAAGATACAGTGTAAGCTAAGCGTCCAGAATCCTGTTTCTTACCATGTGTGAGGTGAAGGGTCCCGCAGCCAAAGTAAAAGTATGCCTTTTTCATCAATCCGAAATGCGCCGAAAGACGGATGAAAATGATGAAAATAGTGATAGCCAGACACCTTTTAGGACTCTATTCACGCGTACAGAAAGTAAACACCCAACGTGCCGCACAACCAGGTATGTAACTATAGCCAAACTCGGTTGTCTGCGCCCTCTCACATTTAGTTGTTCGCCATCTTTGGCCGCGTAGTTTGTTCAAGCTGCCAAAAAATTTGCTGCGGGACGTTTGTGTCGTACTTTTAGACAGCCGATAGAGTCCGAAACTGTATGCAGCAGTCACAACCTCCAGCTTCATTTCGGTGCCCTTACGATTGATGGAAACGGCGCACTTCCACAGCTGCAGACTTGCCCACCTTCCTATGGCATAGATACATCCTGCGGGTGGGTATACAGAGCCTCTTCGGCAGCAAGTAATTCGAAGTTACGATATTCTGTCATGGTGACAGTTCTCGCACTATGTGTAAACCAGGCCATCATTGTTGGAGGTTTTCCATTGTCAGTTGAGCAACATGAGATGATGTTAGAGCGGAGTTATTCCCAGCACAAGCACAATGTCATTATGTGATGAAATCTCACATTCTTGGACCTGAATTATGTACCAATTTGCCTCCCCTAGTAATATCATTTAGGTAATTTATTGCCAATTAGTCCCAAAAATTTGTCCCTCCATAAAATAAAAATTAGTGACAAAATCTTCCTGACAACCTCATTCTTAGCCTCACTGTACAATGGATGTTCCTTCTGGAAGTCTGCTTAGCATTTCTGATCGACGTTCACAAATGGTGTGCTGACAGCAGCTGTGAGAGGATCTGGCGATAACCCATCTCCAAGATGTCCCCAGTTTGACCCTGATCTGAAGCTATTGAAGCATTAAGGGCACATCCGTTATAACCTGAAGGAAGCGATACTCAGTCATGTTACCACCGGTGCTATCCTTTTTTCCAATTCGCTCAATACGAACGAGTGCCCTAGAGGAAGGCAGTATAACTTGGGCTCTTCACCCATACTGTCATCGGGCAATGTGCTATCATAGGTCCTGTTGCTCTACCGTTTTGTTGGAGATCGCGTTTCTATGAGGTTTGGCGCTTCTTGGAATCTGGGCTCGGATTCGAATTTCATTCTGTACGCTTCGGCAGCTCACGGAAAAATGCTCGGGGACTCACTTTATTGCCCTCACTAACACGTTTCTATGGAATCATTGACCGCTTTCCTTTGTCCTTCTATTTCTTTCCCCCTCGACTTCACTCTTCTCCTTCGCGACCTTTCATTGTCTAACCTTAAACCACGCCATCCCCTTACCTAGAAGAAGCAAGCTACTCGACTAAACTGAAGTCTATGGAATGTGTCCTTGTCGTTTAAGTACCTGATCAGTGACATCTACAAAAAAAAAAGATTTTTTGCTTTTTTAGTTGATAAAACAAACAAGGCAAACCTTGGACGCCGAACGCAATTTATCTCATAGGCCAGACACTCGCAGTAGCGTTTCAATGAACGAATGGTTCATGAATATTCATAAAAAGGTCGAATAAAAAGCGTATCTTAAGTGGATTGGTTGCCATTGCTATTACTCTTGTGATGAATGAGAGTCCATTAGCGAATTGTTTGTCCTTTATTGAAATGATGCCCTTCAGAACCAATGAGTGTAATATGTTCTCCTTCTTTCTTCTTTCCTGGTTTGAAAAATGTTGCTCTTTAATGGGCTCACGCTTTTTGGTCAAATTTTTTCAACGGAACATTATTGATGTCCATTTAGTACCAAAGGCGAACTTGATGTGAGAATGGAACCGCTGCAGCCGACATGGACAAACCCTCTCGAGTGTAGGTGGGTAAATTTGGAGATATGTTTAGAGTGCGTTCATGCTTTGCGACAGCGTTTTGAGCGTATCAGAGCGGTTTGGGCATCCGCCAGCGTTTTTTCTGCGGTTTTTTTTTGCGATATTTATACATTCTTACTCGCTAAAACTGGCCGAAACGCTGACAGACGCTCAAAACGCTGACACAGTAAGAAAGCACCCCAGAGTAATATCTAGCTCTTTATTGTACTGCTTAACCATATGTTTGAATATATTCAGTTCGTTTACGCACTGGAAACCCGAGAAGAATGAATCACTCAGTGACACCGATCTAGCCGCTTACGAAGCGAATCGTAAAAAATCGTCAGAAGAAAAGACTAAGAAGAAGTGATTTAATATCCATCAAATACGTTGTCGTGAACATTCTCCCCTACGGATAGAATTCTAAACAATAATACGGTTATATGATGTTTTTCTAATGTCAGTGCTCCATTTCCCGTTAATCTTATTTGATGTTTCCACTCACACTCTCGACACCATACAATCCTCGAATGAAATTCCCACTATTTTCGTACTGGTGTTTTCGTCTAATGATACGGGTATTGCACGATTTATGCACGATTCTTTTCACACGAATGGCATTTACATATGTTCAAGTTTTATTTCATCACAATGTGTTGCGTATAATTCATTCACATACACGCACTTGCTCTCATCGATGTTGCCTCGTTGATCTTTCGCGGTGGAATTTGATTTTACGCCACTTTAAGGATTAGCCTTTTTCTTGAATCGCTTTACTCGCTTCGGCGAGTATGTCACATCGCTCAAATGCTCTACAATTCTTACGGCGTTATAGCGTTTCGTTGCTTCCAATTTCGAATCATATGTCTAGCTTTTCCTCTTCAGGTTGCTTCAAAGGCAGTGAACACGATTGCGGAGGGCTGGCGTTTGTCGCCAACGTCATCGGTGGAAGAGCTGAATGGGTGTGGCCGAACGTCTTTTCGCAACCCTTCCACCAATGACGCTAGCAGAACCGCCCGCCCCCTACCATCGTGGCCGCTGCGTTTAGGTTTTTGTTACTGTATGTTTGGTCAGACAGGCTACTCTCTTAGCTAGTCTAGACTTCCGTTGTCGATTGTTTCTATAATACACTCGTAGTTGTTATGTTATTTTTGTTTGCGGTACTCGTTAAATTGTATAGAAGTAACTGATTCGTTTTGAAATTCCTTCAGGCGATCCATATTCGTATTCTCATTCTCATTTTTGTCATCAGATTTCTATTACCGTAGTAGATGGATGTTTTTCCAACATGAATTGGCGTTTCGGTGTCACACAACTGATAAAGCTCCCACTTATCGATAACGGTTTTGCATTTAACAAATTTTACTTGTTTTGTCGAAACGACGTTTACTTAACAATTCATAATTTGATGTGATCCTAGGGTGGATCAGCGATGTACAGGAGGAAATTGGGGCGGAATTGGGGAATTTTTGATACCACGGATTTTGAATGACGTAGGTGCCCTGCATATCCCGGCGATAAAGCGTGCTTGACTACGTATCCCATTCCAGGGTGTAGGCGGCTGCAGTTTATAACTGGAAACCTGACAGTGCTCGGAATTCAACCAGGAGAAGGAAGGGGTAAAAAATTTGGTTTTTTTTTTGTATAACGGTGTCGTCAGGAAATCCATTGTTGCAGTGACGCGTGGGGTGTGGAGTAGCTCGCACCAGAACCTTGTCGATTCAACGGGTTTGTTGTTAAGTCAACATAGAGTCACGATCTTTAAGCGATAAGGAATAAGGATTGGAACGATGCCAATGCGACCTTTTGAAGCAATGATGACATCCTGAATCCACAACATCGGTTGAAAGAGATGTTCTGGCCACGCCCCTTTACACGCCCTATCGCTTGCAAGGATCATGAATATAGGGTCTGGTGCGAATGTGAAGGGTTTGAGGAATACGCCGCATTGTTGTGAGGGGATCCTCTCCGTTCTCAGGGCTCGGCCGTAGAAGAGAGCAGATGGTCACTGTCCGCGCTTAGTTCTTCTCAAGGTGCAGAGAACGGGACTGCGTCATTGTCTCCCCTTCCTCCTCTCCCCTCCCCCCCCTCATTCACTACGTGGAGCCGAGAAACTGGAAAATACTAACCGGTTGCTGCGCATGACCGCTTCACCCGTTGCGGACGAGGCCTAATTTTGCAATGGGTTGTTGAATGAACTTCTGCTTTTTACATCGTTACAAATGCGCCTGTGACTCACGATGTGACTCACGCCGTCCAGCGCTGCAGTCTCATCTCCGCTTCAGCTCCTTTGCTCAAGGGCCAGCACTTAGCATCACAGCTTAGTACCGAAGACTAATGCGTTAAAACTGTACATTATATTCCTGAATGTTGTGGATGCAGGTTTGCGGGTATGGATAAGTGGAAGCTTTTATTTCTAAAGTATCCTTACATTGTTCGAGGAAATTAAGCGTTTCTCCTTGAAACATGCGTGAGCTCAGCAAAAAGTAGACTGCTGTAAATGAGGCCTTGTCACGACTACGCATTTTTACAGCGACGTATTTCACATTTTAATGTGGAGAAGGGCGGGTGGTGCGGTCGCTTTCCTCGAGCTCGCTTTTTTGTTCCTCTGAATGAGTTTCTATTGAGAAGTTTTAAGAATGGAGGTGTTCAGTAAATCCGGTTTTTACTTCTGTATATTCTTGAAGGGGATTGGGCTCATTAGCTGATGCGAGGTATTCACTCTTTTTGGGTTCTTGAGGGATCGGTTTGCTACTTCTCCATGTTGTCGAATAGTTCTCAATGTCTAGTGGCAAAAATAGTCCAAAATATTTTCCCACGTGTATTTATTCTTTTGAGTATGCGATAAGAGGCGATGATATCATGAATGAGTCAACGTACGAGCGTCTGAATGACTAATATTTGAGTCATGGGTTGTGTGGCGACAATTGTAAATGCGAGCATCTCGTAAGAATTGTTGGAATTTTTGAGAAAACGAATGCATCTAGAGATTCAAGACGCTAAGATGACCGTGTTTATCACTAGTGTAGTGATAGCTTGTATTCCTCGGGTTCCCGTAATGAGCCGTTCACTGGTGATTTGCTATTGTAATGAACTCTTGACTAGCTTTCTATCGTTCATTACCTTAAGAGGTGCATTCAGTATCCTGGAGATAGGGAGGGCGTGGCTGCATACTTTTCTATGGAGTGTGCAGCCTTGCCAATGTAGTGGGGTAGGATGCGTTTTTCATGGGTTATTTTCACTTAAAATCACTAAATATCATCCCGTCCTATGCAGAACAAAGACACAACTACAGTTGTCACTAAAAGTATTCCATCAAAGTCGCTGTCAAAACTCGCAGCCACGCCCTTCCCAAATATGGGAAATAAAGTGTAGTTTCAGGCGTTGCAATGCTCTGCCTGCATTTCTTTAGTTCTTGATACACTTTCAGTTCTTTGCCGTAGTCCCCCCCCCCGGTATATTGGATTATATTACAAGGATACAGCTCTCCACGGAAGATGTTACCGATGGGAATAAGCAAAACGTCCCCACCAAGCCGGAATGCATTGGGCTCTTCCTCTCTCCCTATTTCCGAAAAAAAGCTTCCAGTCCATCACCCTTCCCCTGCTAACGACTAAAGGAGGAGAGGGTCGTCCTCAATCAACTGCTGATGTCATCTATTAGAAGCAGTAGTTGTGTGGTAATTCTGCGGCGCAGGAAAGTAAAAGGGGATATATAGTAGACAAGAAGCGTGGGTAAAACCGAAAAAAATCAATAGCTGGAAAAACTCTGGCAGCTTGAAGGAATTTTCCTCTTAACGATGCTGTACCTTGTACGCGAGACGTCTGTAATTGTTTGCCCTTGCGTGTTGTACAACGTGGAGCATTGCGATTTTCGAAACTCCGTCTTCGCCCACTTGCTTTGCGCCACCATTCTTCCATTTTATTACTTGGGGAGGGAGGGGGAGATTATTAAATTCACGTTTTCCTCATAGCGATTTAGTCAACCGGGCTTCTAAGGACCTACTGACTTAGTCGTTCTGGGCTGAGCATCCAAACTCAGTTTTGAATGGAGCTAAAATCTTTTTAATGGTGACAGCTTTGGACGCCATTCGGCTTAGTGAAGGCATTTTGCTGGTCCCCATCGATCACTGCCGTTTACTCTTGTGGAAACCTGTGATCTCACCTCATGAGCTTCGTTTACACTTGACAAATTTGCATGTCTCATCGTAATTTAACGGGAACTAGCAAAAGAAACTAACGAAGTTCAGCCCCCCCCCCCATCCCCCAAGCCCAATAGCGCCCTGGTCGGGATCATTTGGTGAGCACATGAATCTGTAGTGTTGTAGGACAAAAATTCCTTGTCTGAGCTTGTTTTCCCATTATGACCATTCAAAACGAAGTGTCTTCGAAATCACGTGGACCTTTGAAGGTACACCCCGCATTCATTTGATGTTCAGACGCCTTCCTTGAAGGAATCCTGTCCGCAAGCATGTAGGACCCACTGATTTCGCAGGTCAAGCGTACTTGAAGAAAGCGCGACAATTGCGCGATGAGGCCACCTCCCCTCCCCCCCCCCACTGGCCGTCGCAACGCCGAACTTTTATTTCAAAAAGCTTTATGGTGGTGGGGTTTGTGTTACTAACTCTCTACATGTCGACTGGTGAGAATGAGGTGGTGAGGGGAAAAGTGCTGACTCCAGCAAGTGACAACTCGACTGATCACGCCCTCTCTTCGCTATATGCTCGTGTAACGCTGTTCAGGATGGGGTTCTATACGGGGAATTTCGGGCGGAATTTCACTTCCCTTCACTTTTGTTTTATTCACCATCTTATCATTACTATTTGAACCTTGCAATTCACCATTCTTGAACACGAGATGTCCTTTAGTCTGGTTTTTGGTCTGACAAGTTTCAGATGTCTGAAATTTCCTCGGGCCGAAAATTTGCTTTTTCCATCAAAACCAGAGAGCGCTCTTCTGTTTGTTCTTCATTTTCGCTCTAATTTGATTACTTCGGAGAGTTCACAGACGTTTGAATGGTTCCAGCCGTCGCGTTTATTGCGGTCGCTCTGTTGATTGCTTTTTTTGTTCGCAGGGCATAGGTCGTTTTGTCAGGATTCACATTACTGTCTTGTGTAAACTGATTGATTCCTCGAATAAGAACTTGACAAATTTCTCTTTTGTCAATAATTCACAGAAATTAAGTATGTGCAATGGCTGGGACTCCACATGAGGCAAAAGATTTTGCAACGACGATTGCCATTGCCACTCCGTCGACTGATGCAACTGTTGGACCATTGCTATCACAAAGTCTACCCACGCATCCTACATATGTTGTAAAGAATAATGAGGATGAAAAGAAGCTGGATGAACATCGCGGGGTGAGTTTCTGGGAGCATTGAACTGCGCTTTCTACATCGTTTAGTCGCATTTATCATTGAAGTTATCATTTTAGTGGTGAGCTATCTTTTTTTCTTGTTCCTATATGATTACAGCGCATTAAAAGCCCCTCTTTAGAGACTGTGGGAGCTGCTGCTGGAGCAGGCGGGAGTTCGCTGCTGGCGTCACTGGCACAAGGGCTGCGAGATGACATTTGGCCATACCCCACTCAGCCCTTCCACCAGTAACAGTGGCGAAATGTCCCCCCCCCCTCAGCGGTCCCTCCCACCGCCTTATCCAAAAGGAGGTTATATTAATGGTAGTGAGAAACCAGGGGAATTTAGAAAGAAGTCGGTCAAGCAATAAAAGCTTTCCCCTTGGCACATCTTGTGACTGCTGTCATCATCGTCATCATTGTTTGCAGATGTTCTCAAAATAAGTTTGCGGCACTGTTTGGCATAAGTGGGGGGGGGGCATTTAGCCCTTTCGATAGTTCCTTCCGTTAGTTCCTTCCAACTAACAGTCTCATCAACGTGAGTCGTGTAAACTTTGTCAGGTGTGAACAGAGCTCATATACCACAGCTTTGCGAAAATTTACAATCTTTCACAGCAAGCATCGGCAGTGATCGATGGCAACCAGAAAAATGCACCCTTCAAGATGAACTGCGCCTGAATTTACTTATAATATTATATTATGTTTGAAAGGTAGCAAAAAGGCAGCATTATAAAGACGAGCAAAAAGGCAGCATCATAAAGACGATGTTCCAGCTAACGCGCTACTGTTAGATATGAGCGCGGTGCAATTGATTATTTACAGAGCGAAACATCGGCACGGTCCTTACCTCCTTCAGCGAGCGTTGGAAACATACGACCACCGCTGAATCGCGGGCAAAGCCAGTGAGTTTCTCAACGATGTTGCTCTCTTTCTTTGTGTTTGGCAGCTATCGGTTTATCTTAACCTTTGTTGTTCAGCTGACGTTCATTTATGAGCGCAAAGTATGTTTGTTCCCGGATTACACCTACAAATTGCCTCATTCTCACTATCATCAGGCCTCCCAAAGTGCCTAATGTAAGTTCCTAACTGAAAATTAAGTTCTATTTGGCTAGATGTATTGATAAAGTAGGAAACGAGAGAGGAGATTTCGATAGCATTCCACCGATATGTTCGTCTGCCGGGCACTATTTACCTTCTACTATTACATCTTTCCGAAATGAGGCTAGATGTTCATGAAGTTTTGCCCTTGAAGTGAATTTGACGGCAGTCTCTCCTGCGAGCGGTTTCATACCCCTCCCCCGAACACAGTATTGCATCAGCTTGCCTTAGGAAGAGCTGGTATATGCTATTCAGCCATTACTAATCCAAGCCCAGTTTTTCGAAGTTGACTTGAACTTCAGATTTTGCTAGAATGTCGTCCCTAAGGCTCATTCAACCTCCTGAACACGAATATCGTAGCAGTTTTGCGCAAGGATTGTTATTCCGCGCGCTACAAGCGCCGGCCCAACGGCGAAGGCCGCAGAGCCTATTTACGAAAAAACAGTGGAGGGGGACCTCCATCACTCCGTTTGGCAAACTTGTTTATTTATTTTTTTTACTTATTAATGCATCCATAGGACGCACAACAGTCATGAATCACCAGGTAACGTTCACAGCAAAGGTATGAGCAACAAAAGTAAGTGATGAAAGAAGATTATTTGCATTGAATCATTATTATTATTATTATTATTCATTATTATTGAATTACTATTTGAATTATTTGCAAATTTTGATGGTAGATTCCAGTTCACTGTTTCATGACGCGTATAAAAGGTTGATACGATATACGCGTTCTTTTCAATCAGATCTTCCCCGAAAAAAAAAATTCAAAACAAAATCAGGCTCGATTCTGAAAGAGTGGGACAATAATGTGCAAATAGCGTACCGTCTCTTGCAACCAGGGGCTCAGTCGTTCTTTTTATACTTTGTATCAAAATTGCTTATGGAGCAGTTGATTTCCTTGCTTTGTCAATGTTATGTTTCTCAGGATCCAAATGGCTTTGAATGGCTCAGCAAACTTCGTCGGTTGGAACGATTCCGAAGGTGAGATTCGACGCAACTGGGGTTCAAGACGACTGCGATTTCTAGCCAAAAAATATAACCTGAATCAACATCATGCCCTCAGCGAAGGTGAGCGATGTTTAGCTTGGATGTTCGTGTTCGTTTCTTGATTATTTCTTCTATGAATCTCTCAGAATGTTGCTGATTTTCACCCCAAATTTTGAGCATGAGGTACATCATGCGTATACTCTAGTTCGCTGCGGACGGTTGGGCGTGTCAGGCAGTATGAGTGTGTCACGCCGTCAAAGCCGTTCTCTGCCTTCTTGTTGAAGCGGCAAAAAAGTGGTAGAAAACGAGTAATACGAACGATATGATACAGTCATATCACTTGCTCGCTTTAACAACTGGTGGAGAACGGGTTTGGCACCGCGCCAAACTCATCCCGCCTGGCACGCCTAACCGTCCGCAGAGAACTATACTATAGTGCTTGTGTCCATAGTGTGTCCTCTTCTCCGAAAATTGGTACTTAATTTCTTGATATGTTCCAGCGCGATCTATTGAACCTGCCGTACATTATGACGTCGTTGATCACCCTGGTCGTTCATCTCCCGTTACAGAATGGAGTCACACCCAGCCGTCGGGACGCACTGACCAGGTATGTGTTCCTCATTTCGCATTTCAGATATGCAACGAACTCATTCTCTTGTAATTCAGGCATTCACTTTCCTCTTATGGTGCAACCCCAACTGCGTATGATGGCACTACTCCAGGTTCGATAGCTCGTAGCCTTAGTCAAGCTAGCGATTCATATGTTCGTCCTCGCTTTGAAAGACGTGAATCAGCTGCTCGAGTGGCCTACGGTTCAGCAGCGAGTGTTGCGAAACGGTAAGGAATTGACTGTGAGGTTATTATTCTTTTTTGAACTGGTTACTCTTTGCCTTTGCCTTCGCTTGAGTAACTCAGTGATTCAGCGGTGTCGTCGACAGCCAGCGCATGCATCGTGTACGGCTTTCCTCGAGACAATCATTCGATGTGGATTCGCTACAGTCCGACAGAGCCGGTTCACCTGCTTCTGTGGAAGCCGACCAAGGCACTGAACCTTTTTCTAGGGCAATGGACATAGGTAGGCAAATCAGGACCATATTGCGAGACGAATTCCATGAGTCCTCAATTGTTTGTGCTTTTCCATCTAGATGGCTCTGCTGGCTTACGAATGGCTGGAGAAGAGATCACCCACAGAACTGCTTCGCCAATTATCGAAGAATCAGCGAGTGATATATTTTTTGAGCAAGAGGTGCGAAACGAAACAATTCTTTTCGTAGGTCATGTCTTGCACAACTCTTGCAGTATCGTTGTTCCAAGTTTCGAATGTGCAGTTTACAAGGCGTGATTCAGCCAGGTGAGACCAGAACGGGATCACGAGCAGGGATCAGTGCGGCTTCGTCTCAGGCTGAACAGTTTGAGATGGTTGATATGGAACCATCGTCATATGCCACTGCTCGAGAAGGTCTTCGAGGGGTAGTCGCCAAAAAGGGTCTTTCTGAACCTGCTTTAAGGCCAAAGTTGGTAGGGTTTAGTCCTTGTTTTTGTCACTTAGGCAGCGTTCAGACTTCGCGACGGCAGCGCTTTGGTCGCGCGTTCGACGCGATGCAGTCGAAAGCATGCGCCACCTTCCGATCGTCGCGATCTGCCGCGACTGAAGCGCTGCCGCTCGCCGACAGTGCCCTGAACACGCCCTCCAGTCTATATTAGTTTTTCTAGGGAAGTTTGATTTTCTGTTTTCTTTTCAGTCAACACAAGAACGCATAGATGTTGATGATCTCTTTTTTGCCTTTTCTACTGATGATGATCGGAGTAAACAAGCGCTTCTCGTTCGTCTGGCTTATCACGTTAATGCGCTATTATATGTGTTTTTAACAGCCTGCAAAACAAATTTTCGTTCCGCGCCGTAGTTGTCACTAGAAGAACCGATGGTAACGAAAACCAAGCGAACTTCTCTCGAACCATCGCCATCCCCTCCCCTATAACAACACTCACCACCATAGAAATCTACAACTGCGGCGTTCGTGTAAAGCCCAACCATTAGAACAGCGTTGGCCGCAGTCTCTGCTTGGTGGGGCACCGACAGGGTACACCCCAAGCCTTGAACAGGAGCCACCTTGTCCAGCACCTGTAAAATCCTGTAATCCAAAATCGGATTACACGCCTATTTTGCGCAATTCACTGTGGGTTTTCAAGTCCGGACACACACAGGGTTTTACAAGTTTCGCCCCAGCGAGACTTGTTAGTTAACATGAACTAAACTAAGCGAGTGCAAAACGCCCCTCGAAGCCAAGCTGCGCCGAACTGTTAGGCAGCGTTCATACTTCGCGACGGCAGCGCTTGGTCGCGCGATTCGACGATCGATGCGCGCTTTCAACTGCATCGATCGCGTCGAACGCGCGACCGAAGCGCCGCCGTCGCGAAGTTTGAACGCTGCCTTACATACAAATCAAATGAAATTACCAGTGCTTCATTGACTTGTGGAAAATCCCTAGGACTGAACTGTCGTTGAGAGTTTCGAGCAGGGGTCGGTGCTCACACTTCTACAGCGGATCAGAAAGCTCCGCATGAGCTTTGGAGTTTTGGCCCTAAAAGGTGAGACAAAACCCTGTCATACAACGATTTCTTCCTACCCCACCCTAGTTTCCTGTGCAGGCTCTGGCACATATGGAGAGGTCATTTAATGTAATGGTCAGGGCTTCAGGTGGCTTCTAACAGGGCTTCGATCGAGCCTAGAGTAGCTCGTAGTGGGTCTTGCTCTAGGTCCCTTAGATTTTTACTATTCTATGAATTGTTCAATTTCATGGATAGAACTGAGTGAAATTTTGGGTTATGCATGTGACTAACTGTACCGCCTTCTGACGGCACGAGTGTTTTTTGATGTGATACATCCGTGAGCCTTTTGTGCCCTTTACTGTCCCACTATTCGAAACTCAATATTGATGTTTTTCGAAGTTTTTCTTTCAGTGGTGAGGTAGATTCGACAGATTTTTTTTTACACTCTAAAGAAACGAACGAAAGAACGAATATCACATCCGTTTTCGAGTGGAAGTACCTGGCGTCCGCGTCATAGGTGCCAGCTCAGGTAGTTTGGCACCGGTGACCGCAGCACACGTACCAGG